CCCCAGCCCTGAGCCCCCCCCAAACCCGGAAGCCCTTCCTGCACCCCAAGCCCCTCATCTCTGGCCCCATCCCAGAGCCTGCACCCCCAGTCCAGAGCCCTGAGCCCCTCCCAAACCCCTCATCCCCAGCTCCGTTGGGTCGCGGGCATCAACAATTTTCTTCAGCTGAATCCCCAGGAAAAAAGTTTAAAAACCACTGCTGTATAAGATGCATCATCAGCAGCAGAGGGGCTTCTCAAATGATCTACATGATTCGCTGCTACAGGACTCCCTGACGCAGGACTGAACTACCAGTCAGCGATTCCAGGTCAACCTAGCACAGCTGGCATCTGGAGAGGTAACCTAGTGATCTTTGCTGCAACGTGAGCAGAAAGAAAATGGGAGGTTTTCTACACAGGTTACTACTAGAACAATCAACTCTGATACTAAACTAGCCAGTTGCTTGCACAATGGAAGCTTCTGGTCCCAGCAGGCTATAAGATGTATAGATGTCAAATATGCCTTGAATATATATTGATAATAGGTTATTACAGCCCTCTCTCTGCTTACCTAACTAGGAAGCAATCACCTTATTCTCCCTCGTCTCCACAGCGACCAGGATTACCACCATGCACCCCTATGCACATCCCAAACTGGAGCCTCCTCATGGAGCAATAGAGCATGGGAATCAATACGCACACCACCACAGGGGCACAGCTCGTTGGGAGCGTCAATCAAACTAAAGGTTGAATTGCACAGTTCCCAGGAAAGGAGAGTTCCTAGACAGGAAATTCTCATGATTTGCATGTGGTGGTAATTCCCATCTAATTGGAAATTAAGAACCGGAGAGGAGTGTAGAACATAAATTGAAATCACCTAGGAAGCTTGTGACCAAAAAAGTAGATAGCAACTCACCACGGTGTAACTTTGGAATATTAAAAGAAATCGCTTAAGGAAGGAGAAATTCCAGTTAACGGTCTGGGTTAGTACAGAAATGCACTATTTGAAACGAATCAAACATAAAGAGCCTCCGATAAGAAAGAGATTGAAGATATTTGTTATACATAGACACCATCTACTGGATACCAACAGAGGCAGAGAAACCAAGAGCTGAAACTGGAGCGCAAAGACTGGTCCGTATAGCTAAGTACCGGTAATGGACCTCCTTCAAAGTCATCCTAATTACCTTTTGTCCCCCCCCAGGAAATCCCAATCTGTCAAAGAGGCCATGAAATTGTATAAAAGAGCCTTGGGTCCTGATTCTGTCATCTCAGATCTGCTTCGGCTTCATCAGGGGAAGTTCCAGTCGCAAGACTGAGGTCCCAGTTATGCGGGTACGCCCTGAATATGAGATTTGGACATTGGACTATAACCTATGGACTATTTCTAAAAGAACTCTTTGCAACTATGAAGCTCACCATCTCTGCTATGAATCTGCACCTCAATGAATTGAACTAATGTCTGTATGTATGTTGATCTTTTAACCATACTCTCTCTCTTGTTTTTTAATAAATTTTAGTTTAGTTAATAGGAATTGGCTGTAGTGTGTATTTGGGTAAGATTTGGAATATTCAATAACCTAGGGGGTAATGTGTCCGATCCTTTGGGATTGGTAGAACCTTTTCTTTTATATGATGAAATAAGATTTACAGAAATTTTCATCATATTTGACGTGGGCACCTGGATGGAGACTTGAGGCTGGATCACTTTAAGGGAACTGTGTTGTTTGGACTTCTGAGTAACCGGTAAGGTAATAAAGAAGCTGTTTTATGCTAGCTTGGTAAATCTAAGTATTGGAATATCTGCCAGCTTTTGGGGGTTTGGCTGCCCCATATTTTACAGTTCACCCTAATTGAGTGTCGATAGCTGGCCCCCACTAGGACCCCGGTCAGAGTACCCAAAGCTTGCTGTACCCTGTAGACAGTTTCCCCCACCCCGCTCTCCAGGGTTACAGGACAAACAGTTGACTAAACCTACAAAGAAGCTGCAGAATCCAGAAGTGCTACGGACACTCGGACAAGCAGAATGGAAAAGTCTCCCCCGATCCCAGGATTACAGACTAAGAAGTCATGATGTTGTATTTCAGGGATTGTATTTCTTTCTGGTCATTAGCATAAAAACACAGTTACTTTGTTGCCACACTCTTTTTAGTGAGACCTCAAGTAACTATATTTTGGCATTTAACTAATGTTTTATGTATATTCTCCTTTGTCAACTCCACAAATTGGCCTAAGAGACTTAAAACAATTTAAGCAATTGTTCTTGATATTTTGAACTAGTACCCCTCATACCAAACAATTCCAATAGCAGTGACCACAGTGTGCCCTAGCACTAGTGCACCCTTACTCCTTGGAGAAGTCCCAGAAGCATGATCATGTATTACAGGGACTAAAGAATTGATAACTGATGATTGTCAGTAAACGTAAGAAGAAATCTTGGTGATTTGTATTGTTCCTTGGTATAGCTGCAGGCCCTCACACTGGTTTATGTTAATTACATGACAGCATGTGTATTTTGTGTTCAGTACATGCCTAAATTATTGCTTGTATCTACAGTTGGTTGATAAACTATTGATTATCCATTTATGTGGTTCTGGGTGAATTAGTAAACTGTCCAAGGTAAAAGTGATAAAATTAGTAAACCAGTGCTCCCGGGACTCATTAAAAAGATGTTATCCTAATTAAATTCCATTCCAACACTGGCTAGAACGCTTAAAATCGGCAAATCTAGCGTGTTAGATTTCAGTTTTAAAAAACTCTGGCACCTCAGCACCTTCACACAACTGACCCCCATTCACACTTACAAGGCTCAGATCAGACAACTAAATCACTCACACTTACAAGGCACTCAGACAGCAAGCTCTTCAGAGAGGGGACATTAGTGTGTGCATTGCACAGCATTGGGTCCTTCGGCAATGGTGCAATATAACAACAAACACTACTCCTCGCAGCTGTGTGTCAGGCACCCGCCCAGCTGTCATAGAATCATAGAATATCAGAGTTGGAAGGGACCTCAAGAGGTCATCTAGTCCAACCCCCTGCTCAAAGCAGGACCAATTCCCAACTAAATCATCCCAGCGAGGGTTTTGTCAAGCCGGGCCTTAAAAACCTCCAAGGAAGGAGATTCCACCACCTCCCTAGGTAACGCATTCCAGTGTTTCACCACCCTCCTAGTGAAACAGTTTTTCCTGATATCCAACCTGGACCTCCCCCACTGCAACTTGAGACCATTGCTCCTTGTTCTGTCATCTGCCACCACTGAACAGCCGAGCTCCATCCTCTTTGGAACCCCCCTTCAGGTAGTTGAAGGCTGCTATCAAATCTGTCAGCTGGAGTTCCAACTCAAGGGGCTCATTCCCTTCAGTGCAATCAGTGTCATAGGAGCTTTGAGCAAGTCTCGAAGGAGGAAAGGGGCACGTGTCACAGTCAATGTCAGCAAGCACTGAGAGCCATGAGAAATGTACCTCGACATGAAGTCTCTGAGCTCTCCAGAGAATCCACCTTTAATGCATCAAATACTTCGAAGTCAGACTTCTTGACGTGAATCAGATTGTTAATGGTGCCCATTTGGCTGGTGACCACAGGCTGAAATGAAAAGTGAAGACAGTGATCTACCTACATCCTCTTCCCACTCACACAATCACACTCACAGGGCTTGGCTACACTTGCAAGTTAGAGTGCATTAAAGGAGCCCCGGACACCTTAACTCCTGAGGTGTCCACACTGGCAAGGCATGTAGAGCACCTGAAACCTGCAGCTGGAGTGCTCCTGGTAATCCACCTCCACAAGACGCATAAAGCTTTCTGCGCCCCCACTGAAATGCCCAGTTGTCAGTGTGGACAAGGTGTTGTATTACTGCGCTGTGACTGGCCTCTGGAAAGTCCCATAATCCCCTGAAGTCAAGTGGCCACTCTTCTCATTGTTTTGCAATCGGCTGCAGGCATGCGGATATCCCCTTTCAAAGCTCCATTTTTGACAGCCTGCATGCTTATCTGCTCCAGGACAAAGCAAACCATTAAGTGGAAAGCTGCTGTTGTGAGTGAGTGTGTGTGTGTGTGGGGAGGGCGTGCTGCTGTCTGAATTTACAAGATAGCATGCTGACATGCTCTCTGCCCCCAAAACACACTGTCTCTTCCCCCACATATACACAACACGCTCCCTGTCACACTCCACCCTCCCGCATTTGAAAAGCACGTTGCAGCCACTTGCACACTGGGATAGCTACCACAATGCACTGCTCTTTGTGGCATTGCAAGAGCTGCTAATGTGGCCACGCCATTGTGCTTGCAGCTGACAGTGTAAACACACAGCTGCATTTTCCCTGCTGCGGTCTCCGAAGACTGGTTTAACTCCCAGCGCTCTACATTCGCAAGTGTAGCCAAGCCCACGCTTTTCCCAGCCCTCTCTCCCCCACCTGCACATGGACAATCACACATCTCCATTTATCTATCCCCCTGCTACAGTAGCACATACATCACCCATCTGTGTGTCAAGCCAAGAGGCAGAGGTAGAGCAGATAAGCCACAAGAGCTGCCTAAGGCTCAAGAGACACTATGTTGAAGAATGCCCTGCTAGCCTCCAGGATACAGAAGTTTCAGACTCTTATCTGAACACGGGCTCACAGGCATGCCTCATTAGCATTTTCTCACTGTTCACGCCCATTTGCTTGCCAAAAATTGAGAGTAATTGGAAATCTATGCAACTCCACCCCCACACTGTGCTTTAATAATCCTCTTCTGTAGGCCCATCCTCCTACCAGCAGATAACTAGATTACTATCTTATCACATTGCCCCTTTATCAGCTGCAGGCATCACCTCTGAGCAGGAGATTAAGGGAACCAGATGCCCTAATCTGGCTGGTTATACTGAAACTGGCTTAAAGGAATTCTGGTCCCCAGCTGCCCCTTTTAACACTGTTGTGGGTCACCAGATGATGTTCTAAGTAGGATTACATGGTCTGTTTGAGCATAGAGCTAGGCCCCAGAAGGAATAAGTCAGTGGAACCACCAATCCCTTCCTGCTCTCTGCACCTCCAACCCAGGCAATGTTAAAGAAAAATGCCTTTATTTTAATTTCAAACCTAGACTGCTGCATGAGGGAGTCAAGGCCATGGGGAGGAATCTGCTGTAAAGTTAGTCCTGGGAAGCAAGGGCCTGGGACATAGAATCAAGCGATGGATGCAGAGAGGCTCTAAAAGCTATTCCATTAGCTACATGCACAGAAATGCTTATGGGGTGAAACAGCCTCAACATGTTACCAGAGTATAGAGAGGGGCAATCAGTGCCGCACCAATCAAAGCAGGGTGAGGGCTGCTGGTGCTGTACAATCATAGCCAAGGGAAGAAAATGTTACATGAGAAGCAGGGAGGAGAGGCTGAACCAGCCTAGGGCATGGGGTGCACACTGCATTTCCGCAGTGCTGAGGCAGCATACTGAGCCGAAGAAGAGCACTCACTGAGTCTCTGAGGAGAGAAAACAGCTGAGAGTTACCTCGGAAGGGTCATGAACCCACTGGCCATCCACAAAAAACTTGTATTGGTGCTCGCCCTCGGGCAGGTCCAGAATAGCAACAAAGTCATTGTGGCTGAAAGGAGAGAGAGGAGAACAGGACACAGTGTCGTTACAGAAATAGCACCGCAGAGGTTGCTCTTCCTCAGGGTCACCGGTCACACCAGTCCTAGATAGTTCGAGCCTGAGCCTAGTGCCTGAGCTCAGCTCACGCAGTACTGCTTTGGAGAGCACAGACAGAATTCCTGCAATTCAAAGACAGTGGCTCTCAACCTTTCCAGACTACTGTATCCCTTTCAGGAGTCTGATTTTCCTTGAGTACCCTCAAGTTTCACCTCACTTAAAAATGACTTGCTTACAAAAACCAGACATCAAAATACACAAGTGTCACATCACACTGTTACTGAAAAATTGCTTACATTCTCAGTTTTACATAGAATTATAAAATAAATAAATTGGAATATAAATATTGTACTTACATTTCTGTGTATAGTATATAGCAGTAGAAAGAAGTCATTGTCCGTATGAAATTTTAGTTTGCACTGACTTCACTATAGTGCTTTTTACGTAGCCTATTGTGAAACTAGACAAATATCTACATGAGTTGATGTACCCCCTGGAAGACCTCTGCATACCCTCAGGGGTATGTGTACCCCTGGTTGAGAACCACTGTGTTAAGAGACACTCCGCATCGAGAGACATCTCAACCCATCACAGACCAGTCCTACCCCACTCTCTCTCACTCACACACACCCCTGTCCCATGCTATCCCTGTACATTCACACACAACCTGAACCAACACCACACACTGGACTGCCACAAGCAGTCCCATAATTCCACTGGCAGATATGCTTGGAAGGATCCATATTTAAGGATCTGTAGTTCCATGTTGACACCAAAATCACCTGCTCAGATTAGTATAGAACTGGGAAAGTTAGCTTATTTTTGTTACCAAGACTAAGCCCTTGAATTAACTGAACTGATGTATTACTTCTTGAAGATAACGTCTCAAGAGTTCAGTTTTTGACACTGTAGACGTTATTACCAACTTTATTTCACTTGCTGTAATTTTGTTGTTTTTCAAAGCTATTTTGGCTAATAAAACCATAATAATTCACCAGTCCGTACTTCAACTAAGGAACACAGACCCAAAGAACAGTGAGAAATCTAGTAGAGGGAACTGGTTAAATAAATTATTTAACCAATGTGTTTTATATCACCCCTCTTCCTCAAGTTATTGTGACTTGCATATGCAAAGGCTTCCTAGAGAGAGGAAATACCTTTTGATGAGTGGGATCTTGGCACTCCAGTTGTTGAAAGACCCAGAGATGAAGACCTCCTTGCCTCCATCAGCCCAGCGTATGACAGTGGGACGAGCCTGCTGTGAAGGCTTTACTGACTCTTCCAGATCATGCTGCCATGACATAAACTCCTTCTCCCCAGCAAGCTGCATGAAGAAAACAAGAGCCATCCTACAGCCTAGCTAACATGCAGATACAGCAGGGATCAGGGCTGGCTCTCCAATCACACTGTTCTTCCATAGCCCTTCAGCACACATCAGAGCAGGAGCAGCACAGATTTTCCAGCTCCACAATGCACCACAGATTACCCAATTGTTGTCCACCCACTGCCCCCCTGGCATCTACTCCAGTGCTTTGACTTCCTCTCCACTACGCTCCTCCTCTTCATTGCCCTCACCAACAATCTCTGTGTCCAAGTCACAAGACCCCTTTGCCACATCATGGAGCTAGGCAATTACACAGCTCTCCTTGCTATAGTATCCAAATGCCTCTATTCTCACCTTCCTTGATCTATGCACTACCTTCAATATGAGGATGACTCCCTTCTGCCCTAGACTCTGGAGTCTAAGATGCAGAACTGTAGCTGGCATTACATTATTATTGCTCCACTTCAGACAATGGAGCTAAGAAAATTTACGCCAGCTGAGGATGTGCCCGAGTCATTTCCTAGTTTCTCTGTCCAAGCCAAATGACAGCCTTTGCGTTGTGTCCTCTTCTCACTCCATTCTCTGGACTTTCTTCTAAATGGGCCCCTTTTCCTGATACCCTTTGACTAGGGGTGTTCTGTACACACTGTATCACTCCTAGGCACTGACTGTAGTGGGGTGTATTGTACAAACAGTAGGGTAATTAGGCACTTCCAAATTAAAAAAAAAACCCCACAAATGTCTGACTCAGATCTGCTAGAAAATGAGCTCAGCAAAGCTGCCAATATGGTGACCTGCATCATTGGTTATGATCCTGCAAGGATGGGGAATGGGATAGAGAGGCCAGCCCATACCTTGGAGTCAAGGGTGCTGAAAACATTGGGGTCATCAGTGCTGCCCACCATGATCTTGTGGGGATGATCCTTCGTGGAATGGGTGCTACTGGCTCCATCGGAGCGGTGAGATTTGGAGCCATGGCGTTCCCCAGACAATCGATCACTGGTGGTGTTTCCCATGGTAGCTCTGCACCTGACTGAAGGAGAGGGAAGAAAACACAATGCCCCAGTGCCCACTACACACCCACAGGTGGGAAGGGAGATCTCTTGGTTTTCCAACCCCCCAATGTCAGCGTAGATTGATTTCAATCCATCATTTAAGTTTTTCAAGCAACAAGACACCTCTGCCTAATGAATGCACGACGGTTAGTGGAATTTCCAGCCAGCATGCTATTTGCATTAATTGAAAATAATTATGTACCACACCCAACAGAGATGTATTTTTAGAGCATCTTTCACCCTGAAGGATTCCAAAGGGCTTTGCAGAGCACACAAGAAACCCTACACCCAGCAAGAAAACACAGCCACCCAGAGTGAAGGTGGCAGCCGTTTGACAGCCCCTAGCAACACTTCTCGTTATAAACTGTTGTGCAGGGAAGAAGAATCCTGTGCCTAATTGAAATGACAGGGAGACTTTAAGGAGACAGAATGGAATTACCCAAGATGGAATTTGGCCAGGGCACTGGAGCTAACTATGAGAAGCTTTACTATAAAAGGATGGGGATGCTGCTACAGAATGGGCATTTACTAATCATTTACCAGTCAGACCAAGGTCAGTTTCAGGACAGGAGCTGAACCACAGCAAAAGTCTGTTTGCTGTGGTCATAATAAATGTAGCAGAAGCACTGAATGGTCAGAAGTCTCTAGCTAGCCATCTAGATACAATTTGTTAAAGTGGGAAACCTGATTCTGGTTGCAACAGCCTCTTCTGCAGGCGGATATTGGCCTGTGTTATTCACGGAGGTAAATTAATTCAAATGTGAGACCCCTACTTAGAAGAAATAAAATAGAAAGGATTGGCTATATTGTTCCAAGCAATGGACCAAAAAAAAAAAAAGACAGAACACATTGTGACGCTCTGTACCTCAGGGGAACACCTTGCACCCCCATGTTCATCTTTATAATATGATTGTGTGGTATCCAGTGCAAAGTTTGTCATGTCGGGTGTCTTTGGAAGGCTCATAATGCATTGAGCATTGTTGTTCTAGTAATGTTATAGGTTGTAATTTCATGTATGTAGTTAAGAGGCTGAAAATGTGTTTTCATGGCTTAAAACAAGCCCAGGCAAAAACTCTCCAGGCACAGAGGGGCAGTTCACACTTCATCAAGACAAACCCAGCCCAGCCTCACAGGAACAAAGGACACTGGCCTAGGCAGCAACAAAGGATCTGTTGGACTCTTGAGTGAGTCACCCTCCTTCCCTTAAAAAGAACAGGAGTACTTGTGGCACCTTAGAGACTAACAAATTT